GTTTGCCCAAAGGCGTTCTTTCGCTTTCTCTCGCCGCACTTCTCCCCTATATATTTTTTCGCTCACCTTTTCTCGCGCTGCGCCTCAACTAACTGAACACCTGTAGTTGTTTGAAAGCTAGCCTGCGAACAGGCTCTTTAGTCGAGTATGGGAGAAACGAAGGGCCGCTTCACTCTCCACCAGTTTCTTCTCGGGCCTTCCATTCGCGGTCAGACCCTTTAAGCCGGAGCCTGTTCACAGGCCATTTGAAAGCTGGCCTTACTAATAAGCATTAGTAAATATGTAGACTCAGACAGAGACATCTTTCTCAAAATCTGACAAGTTTCTAGTATCTTTCTGACTGCGAGGTCAAAACGGAATTGCCTCTCCCTCCCCTCCCTTTCCACACCCGGCAGACTCTTGCTTCGTGTTCTGTTCCTTCGACAGCAAGATGATTTTTGCTTTTATATCAAAAAGTTTTATGAAACTAAACTGAGGAAGGAAGATTTCTTGAAAAGCCTAACTCCACTCCTGTTATTCGTCGTTAGTAGCCCAGAGAAGGTTTTGCCTTAAAATGTACGTGCGTACCTTGCTCGTCGTCCTGGCCTTGTTTTATGAATGTTTTATTCGGCATCTCTGTTAACAAAAAAAGACAATAAATTAAGTAATAAAAAAGCGCGCCTATTAAAAACCAAATCTTGGTTCAATAGGCCCTTTGCACGATCCGGTCACATGGTACAAAATCACATATGCTGGTGTGCAAGTTGCAAAGCGGGACTTCCAAAACAATGCAACTCGCACCAGTCCACCTGGACCTGCCTTTGTTTTGGAAGTCCCACTTCGCAACTTGCGCACCAGCATGTGTGATTTTGTACCATGTGACCGGATCGTGCAAAGGGCCTGTTGGTTCGGGTTGCGCTTGGTATGTAAAGAGAATTCACTTGTCATAACAAATACACAAATAACTTTGATTGATCAGACTGAGTTTAGCTACAACGAAAGCATAGCTAGTGTGATCAACGAGATTCAACGCCTGCATGTTCACACTGATTTAATGCCTGCGTGTTCACGCTTGACGTTTAAAATAAATTAAGAAAGGGAGACAGACAGGTTTAGTAAGAAAGGAAGCTAGGTAATCCCCAGCAATTCGATAGGTCGCCCCGACAATTCTCCAGTGGCAGTTTTTACTTCTGGGTAGAGAGAAGCACTCCTATGTAAAGGTTGAGCGCCTTGTCAAAGGTAATCAATCCTCCTCAAGGTTTTGGAAATGCCAGGAGGGCCCTAGAAATAGCCAATTCTGTGACATAGATTGTGCTCACTTGGACAGCCCAAACGGCCTTACGGGGATTTTCATCTTCCACTTAAAATCTCACGCAACGCGCGTGCTAATCAGTTATCTGCTGAAAACTGGTACGATATCTTAAAATAACTTGAGAGTAATTACCTTGAGACTGAGGCATATACGGGAGATTAAATTTCTTACTCTTCAGTCTCTCTTGATCTACCATAACACTTTTTAGCTGACTTGAATCAATATCCGAATCAAAATCAATATTCGTGAAATTTAACTACTGGGGTCTTTTTGCCCATGTTTTAATGTTAGTGTACTTACTGTAAAACAAGACTTGAACACCTCTCACTTCACAGCCCTTGGTGTTGCACGCTGAAGCTCTATAGGTGCCCGAGTCTTCCTCAGTAAAGGGCGATTCGACTAGCAAACGCCTGTCATTGTCAAATGTCTTGTACCTGCTGCCAATCACCAGCTCGTGCAAATCTTTATGCCACTGTATTTTGATTGGTTGTAGCCCTTTAACAGACACGCTGAGATTGAATGGTTTCTTGGCAGTCATTGAGATGCGTAGAGGAGACTTGACTTTGAAATAAAGGTAAGGCTTACTTCCGGACAGTTTCATGGATGCTGTTTCTACCACAGGTTTATTCTTTTGTGCTGCATTATCACCCAAAGGCTTTGGTTTGGCTGAAAAAAGCGGAGACAAGTTTGCAAGTACATTTAATGCTGATTTAAACCAAACTGCATAATTAATCGTGGCAGTTTTTATTTGCTGGGGGCATAAAAACACCTAGCTGTGAACGGAAGACAATTTTCGCAAGGTTAAACTGATGTTTGATGATTACCATCGACTCAGATCCTTTACAAATTTTACATGCCGGTTATTACCAGTCCAATATCGTTATCAAATTTTAAATTATGTTACGTCACAACATGGCGGTCATTTCAGAGATCGGGGACGTTCGTACTTTGTTCGCTTTTCTTCGGTTATCCACTCATCGTTATTTGATTACTTGCAATACAGATTATGTAGAATCACAATGAGTTGTTCTTACTTATCAGATTTCGATGCAGTTGGCACTACTGTTGTGGGACAACAACTTGTGTGGTAAAAACTATTTCGGTAATACTTACGCGGCAAGATGAGTTCTGCCTTCAAAATTGTGCTGTTTTGAAGATTTTTATCCATAGCTATACAACCGTAGTCGCCAGAATCCAGTTGTGTTACGTTAGTGACGGTGAAAGCCTGTCCTATTTTTATGAGTTTCTTTCCATTCGGTGCCAGATAAAATAGAGGGATCGGCTCGTGATGAAAAGACAAAGCCGTGTAATAAGCTGGCTCGTTAGTTGTGCATTCTATCGTCATGTTTTCTCCTTCATTGAGCTCGTAGACGATCACAGTGTCATCAACATACGTTAAAGAGGCTCTGGTACAAACTGAAATTGAGATGAGTTCAAATGTCAGGTCCTGTCATCCAATCACAGCTTAATTTACTTGAAGTGTGGAATCTCTCTTCTAGGACTTGACACATTGTGGCTCCTAAAATCGAGCATTATGTTTTACAATATTTCTTTGCATATTCCAGTGTCCCCAATTAACAGGGCTAAACATTTTGGCACTTCATTAAAATGATATATTTGGCGTCCTTCCCCCCCCCCCCCCCCCCCCTTTGCCCGACTTCCGCTATTATCTTCGCTATTATACCGAAATTGTTTCCCCACCCCGTCCCTCACTCGAAACAAACTTAATTCTCATTATACTATTATTAACACAAAAGTGGAAACAACTTATGATATACTCCCATAAATAAATGCAATATTCAGAAACCAGTCAGTAACACACTGCGATCATTTACCCAATAGGATAACAAGTGAGTAAAGTTGGTTAGTTGGTAAGTTAATCTCTTGTAACTTACAAGAGATTAATTTGTGACAAATTAACTATACTTGGTAGCAAATGAAAACGTCTTAGAACTTTAAAATGGCTTGCTGATTTTTGTTTGATTTTTCTGATCTCAACTGAAACTTTTAAGGTATATCTAAATTTGAGTAAGTACTCTAATTAGCTAAATCTATTTTTTTTCCCCTCGAAATTAAAAGCAATCATGTGTTCACTGAAGTTTTAAAAAATAATTTGAGAGGGATTCCCCGGAAGAAAAGGGCCCATGTTAGTTCTCCTTTGGTTTATCCCAGCTTACACAAGCTTATAGTAAAGTAACGACTTTTTAAAAGCAATCAACAAGAACAAAAATGAAGCACCTTGTAAGTATTTTAACCATAACGGATCCGACCAACGGATCATTGTAGATAAAAAATATCATGTTTTCTTATAATTACAGCATCTTGTTACAAATAACTTAACTAATATTTTATTTCAGGAAGCGAAATTAACATCAAACACCCACCTGAACAGCACAAAATGGCACACCCAGTGATTAATAGATTTAATACCAGTTTCCCAAGGCAACTACTTCTCATAATAACTCAATCGCGAAACTCTCGTAACTTTTGTTCCATTAACGCAAAGGGTAAAGTTGCCACCGGCTGCCGATGGCCACTCGAAAGCAGCATTGTTACCTAAATTGCAAACAGTTAAATCATTTTGTAGCGTGGTTGTGTGAATCTTGCAACACAATTATGAAGTCATATGGTTTACGTAGAGGCACGCGGTGGACAAGCGCGCGCAGGGGATAATACTGAGAACTTTGTCTTCTGTGGTTATGTTTACACTTGGTGCCTCAGAGCGGTGCAAGAGTACGATTCTTGCTGGGCAGTAATGTGAACACGACTTTTTTTCGAGTATTCACACCAGAATTCGGCGCAGTGCCCGTGTCCGGGTACAAGGTCTCTCGGGTACTTGAGTCTTTGGAGTACCAGTGACTGAACGCAACACTATTTTCTGCCAGTGCCCAGGCACCAGTGCTCTGGCACCAAGTGTGACATAGCCTCGAGTAAAAGGCGAGTTGAAGGCGAGGTTACGAATCAGGTTTACTTGAGACGATTTTTAACACGAAATTTTATGAAACCCTCCTTCACAATCCTGCGACATTTCAGTCTAAACTTTGTTGGTGTTGCGAAGTTGCTTGAAGATCATATCGTGTAACAGATATGCCTATCATTACGCGCGGAATTCTAGAAGTAGAATCGTAAAAGGCAGCAAGAGGCAGTTTCGTTCGTGGAGCCAGACGCGTAAAAGAAGAGAGAGAGAACATTGAACCGACCCCTCTGCCCTGCTTTCGAATTCTGCCTTTCATGAGCGAACGAAGGGCGATTTATCGAACTGAATAAAATTGATTAATAAAGTTTCCCATTCACATACCTTATTTCCTCTCTAGACAAAAAAATACCGAAAATTCGAAACAACCATGACCAGACCCCGCCCGAATGTAGCCTATGAATAGCCACGCCCAACTCCTCACTCGTTCCTTCCTGAGCGCGACCGAGCGCGACCGAGCGCGACCTCTCTCCCACTCCTCCCCACTAAATGTTATCTTGGCGGGAAGAATGCCGTGGTCTCATTTTACTGTGTCAGCGGCCATACACCATCGAGTCAAAGTGAAAGTGTTGTGGAAACAGGCGGAAGAAGGGAAAATAACCGACAAATGTTTTTGTTCAAGAGCATTATTTAAAGTGATCAGAAAGTGAAAGATAGGAAAATTTCCATTGTAATGTTACCAAAAACAAATATTTAAATGCTATGTGAAGGTTCTGTATAGCATGACAGCGCAATAATATTAAGTAATTACATGTGAACCGAAGTCCGACCTGCTTTTGCTGAAGAGAAACTTTCACGGCTTGGAAAATGGACCAAGAAGAAGCGAAAACAGAGTTTTGCTCGAATTGGTAAGTATTTTGCTCTATGCATTCATTAGTGATGGAAATTTCGGTCGACCCAAACAACATTTTGGCAATAACATTTCTTTGGAGTGTTCAAAGACATCTATAATTTTCACTGAATTTTTTGATTGAAAAACTGCAGTGTCATTTATTGTGATTCCACTTTTGTTTTAAGCTAAATGGTTTCTTTTAAGTTCACTCTCTCCCTCGGTGATCTGTGTTTTTACAAATTAAAATAACTAGCTTTACAGATTCTGAACAGTGGTCCATTCAGATCAGTCTGCTCGTTATGCAAGAATTTGAAGCGGAAATACGCGTAACAACTTTATTGGTGTTAGCGTTCAGTCGCGTATGTTTTGGTCGAGTTAAAGATTGTTTTTGATGATCTCACGCCAATACCTTTCTATCACGATGTTCGTTGTGGTTTTGTTACGAAAAAGTGAAGTCTAGCATATTAGGCTTATATGTATGGATTTAAGGATTTGTCGCCGACCAACGAAAAACGCCAGACAATGTTCAGTGATCCATAAGGAACACATCTGTCTTGCTGCCGCGTGATAAAATATATTTGCTTTGTTTCAACACTCACGGAGTAAAACTCAATGACACTGCGCTTTTATAGTGAAGGGGAAAACTTTCTAGCGTCTTTGTGGCTTTAAACATCACACCCTTTCAAGTCGACCCTCATAGATTAAATTCCTTTGCCTAAAAATAAAATTATTCCGTCAGAGTCATCTGTCTATTTTACAATATCATGCAATTTTATTTTGGTTATGTGATCATTGTGAATTTGTGGTGGAATTGTTATGAGTAACTGTATGCCAACCAACTCCTTTGGCACAGGCCTCAAGCCTGGACGTTGAGGCCTTTGAATTACTAAACCCAAATTCCCAATTTTCAAGGAAAGTGCCGGTGATTTTGATGCCATTATGTTTTGTGAACCACATCCTGGGAGTTAGACGTGCCACAAGTCCACATTTGCATAGTCCTTCACTTAATCATCCCTCTCTTGCTTTGCCTAAGGGCAACATAGTCACAGGCATGACTGATGTAAGTCACAAAAGGCCAACTTGTTTTACTTTTAGGGATGAGAATCAGAGGGTAAATTTTTGGGTGCAATTTTTTTTTTTAAAACAAGTAATGGTGAGTGGCACATAGCAAAAGATCTGGTCAACTTGCTCTATTTTTTCCAACTAGGTCGATCTGATCACACAAAACTTTGTTAGGGAATTGAACAAGATGGCTAAAAGGAACTAATAATAACCTCTTACTAACCGAGCGTGAGGGTTGTACTGGGGAATATTGGCCCTTGGTCGTTTTAAAATGACCGAGGGCCAATATTCCCCAGTACGGCTTGAACAAGCTAGGTTAGTAAGTAGTTTATTATATGGCACTCAGGCCATGCTTGTTTTGGATTTGCTGGCTTTCAAAAACAGAAAAAAACACAGCTTATGACCGTTTCCATGGAAACGATCCATATGGCAAAATCCCAACCAAGAAAGAACCAATCAGAAAACTTGGATTTACCTCAAGATTATCTTGCCATATAATAAATTATTTTATACCTAACATATAGAGTACAAGTCATGTTGCAAGTAGGGTGTGAAATGTGAAAAACACATGTACAGAATAGTACATGCAGGGTATGACTGAAAAAAAACCTGTGTAATGTTGAGAATGCGCATTGTTTAATTTTGGGGTTCTTAGTCTTGTTCTTAGTCTTGTTCTTAGTCTTAATCTTAGTCTTACAGTCTTAGTCTTAATCTTAACCTTAATCTTTACAATCACAGATTCCTGTTTACAACTCCAACAATTTAGTTTTCACTAGATCATAAGTGATGGAGTCATAAGCAGAATCAGTATAATTCTGCTTCCGACTCCCTTAAGTTTGATTTTCATTAGATCATATCGCTCTGACTAACCTTAAACTAACAAAACAAATCATTCACAAGTAAAGGCTTTTAAAACTTAACCCTTGACTAGTCACTAATACTGAAGTTGGGAGCATACACTTCCATTTATTTGGACAGGTCTGGAGAACTTATTAAAAATAGACCTTTTACTGGGATAGTGCAGCTTATTGGAAAGAGGGCACTACTTGTAAATCAAATCATTAAAATAACTTATCTGAAAGGTTGGCAAAACCAGAAAAGTAGTTGATTGACACTTAGTTTACTTACGTAACATAATATGAATACAACAATTATTGTATCTTTTGAACAGCCGTCGAGACATCCCTGCTGCCAACTTTATTATGCATGTGACTCATTGCCAGAGGAATCTGACATTATGTAAGGAGTGTGGAGAACCTGTTCCCACTTCGCAGCAGGAAGAGCATTTTGAAGAATACCATGCAAAGGTGTGTGTCAGTCAGAGGGTAAAAAATTGTGGAATACTCATTGTGTGTTTTTTAAACTTATAATGTCATAGTAAATTCTACAAAATGTAAAGAG